ACAGAGAAATTGAAGAGAAAAGAAAAAGGTAGCCAGCAGAATGATGAGTCGAGGCAACCCATGGGACGATCAACACCATGAAAATGCGTGAACACACAAGAGGCAGTCATAAAACCACGTAAACGGATGTGTGCCTAACGATCCAGTGAAGAACCAGAATGGAGAAAAAAATGTTGGAAAAAGGTAGAGGATTATCAGGTAGATGCTGTGGAAATTGTGGAGTTTGAGAAACGAAAGGAAAGTGCTGAGCCATCGTTTTAATATTTATTTATCGATGCTTCAAGTCAAGTTTCCTTTTTTTCGTGTGAGATGAAGCACTGAGGAATAAAGAGAGGATGAGGCAAGAGTCTTGGCTTGATAATATGCGCCGACATTTTCTGGATCAGCATAACTAAATAATCTCGAGACAGCACCGCTCCTCCTTTTCTGTCACTTTATAATCCAAATGTAGGATAATGTGTACCACTAACTCCTGCCTCTTTACCGCATTATATTTTCCATAAATAGAATGAGTAGGCATTAGCATAAAGTTGGGCTTTATCATTGGGAGAGATGGGAGAGAACTTGTTGGGGAAATTTGTTTTGATTTGGCTGCCTGAGGGGAGAAGTATTACATGTGTGAAAAATTGACCACCTAGAACGAATTCGTGTAAACGCAGTCTCTGGAATTTTAGGATCGTGGGGGTTTGTATGTATGGTATGTATAGTTGATCGTGTCGTATAATATCACGAGTGGATCTACCTGGAAAGGAGACACGATGGACACCCGTATACCGCTGGCATCATGCTGATCATCTACCTGGCCACCTCCAGTCCTTTTATTTTTCACCGTGCGCAACCATTGGGTTTATTAAGCGTTACACGATTCTTATCTAGGTCCACACGTCGTACAATGACGCGTGCACAAATACCTGGACACTTTGGGTGATACCACACGTGTGGGGAATTATTGCCACTGGGAGGTTTACTAATACCTGGGGAATAATCTTTATGACTTGTACTTGAGGGGGACTTGACAAGTCGTGACTTCTCATTACCTGAGGGAAACCATTGCCATTGGTTATGGAGGTTTTGGATTTCATGCGCATGCAGTTTTCACGATACCTCTTGATCATCGCTGATCGTGTTGGAGACATTACGTTAAATTCAATTCAATTTAATGAGAAAGTGTACAGCATGTCAGCAGGATAGAATGATTGACAGATAACGTTACATGGATTATCATTTATATTTTAAAGCATTTTAAAGTAAATTTTTCATTAACTGAACTCAATCTATTACGTAGTACATTTTTTGGCATTCGCACTCATGATGATTATAAGCGTATGCAAATGGCGGTCGAAATTGCAGTTAAATGAAAATAAATAAAATAAAGTGCAACAACTTTTCGCCTTTAAGGACAATAGAAGCCGACAAAATATATAATGTAGTTTTTGAATAAAGCTATAGTAAATGCATGGTAGCAAGTGAAAAGTATTGTACACTGTTGAAAAAATGAGAGGTCGCAATGGCCAGCGATAAAATGCAGAAATGACTGAGCGTGTGATAGGGGTGTGTCAACCATTCTCGATGATTTCCATCTTCGTTCAATCCAACAACATCTACATACGGAATACTGTGGAGGCGTGTGTAATGCGATAGCAGAAGTCATGGTAACGTGTGTTAAGGTTCGCCACTGATCGGCGTGGGTGGCCCTCACCACCACAAATGCATTCACCCATCGGCTGTGGTGCAATGTCAGTAGCTTTTCAATGGAGAAACGACAGGGAGCAAGTGAGAGACATTATCTATCCTCGTTCACCAAGATCCTCAACCTCATTCGTACCTACATAAACCTGGACTTCTCCACTGGGGATGATGAATGACTTTGTTCTTCGCTCCGGTCCGTCGCACCTCCGTAACTCCACACCCTATTCCATCGCCTTCTATACAACCTTACCACCACCCCACCGACCGCCCATATTCGTCTTTCACATCTATCCCTTCTTCTACCCACTCTCCATCGACTCGCTGAGAGATACAATAATTTGCATATGGAGGTGGTCGTGGCTTCTCTTCATCTCTCCGTTGGCGATGTCTTGATGCCCCTGGGAGATGTACGTGAGGATTTATATCGATTCGATGAGGCCTACTGATTTCGTATCGCATGACTCTGATCGATTGCCCCTAATTAGAGTGAATTTTTTTTTTTTTTCATCCACGTGTATTATCAACTTCAGCCAATTCCTGCTATTTTTTATTATTAAATTACGTGACTTGTTTGGTGAAATCCATTTTTGTTATTTATTTTCTGGATGCCCTTCGGGATTTGAAGTTGCTCGTGGATGGGAAGGGCTTCTGGAGATCTTTGGGAGTTTTTTTTGGAGACACTGAATTAACTTTTTTAGTTAGTTAGCACGAGAGGTTCGGGTAATTGATAATGATGAGGGAGAATCAGAGAAATGATGTTCAGTTTTTAAAGATTTTTTCATAGAATTATTTAGTTTTAATGCCGAATTCAATGAGTATTTGTTGTAAACTCTGAATTAATGGCGAATTTGCCCCGAAGAGAACGGGAACGTGAACTTACGCAATTTTTTAATTGCCTGAAGTAATTTTGGAATTGATTAATCTTTCTTCTCTACACGGGGAGAAAAAAATGTAATAAAAATAGCATCGAAGTTCCGTAATTAGCGAGTGAAAATCATATTCCATAAATTTTTATGAATCAACCAAAGTAAAAGTTTTATTGAAAAAATTCCATAAAAATCGGTGGAACACAATTTTGACTTGCAGATTACAAAACATCGACGCAATTTTTATTGAGTTTACCTCTCCGCCCGGGGAAAAGCAATTCTTGACTTGATATCTCAATTTCTGCGGTATTTTTCCCAAAAAAACTCTCCATCGGTGTAATTTAACGACGCAATCCCCCAACAAAAAAAGTGTTCAACCCCGACGGTAAAAAATCCATAACAAACGCTATCAAATGAAGCCGTCGGTGGCACCCATCCATCGAAACCGATAAACATTCTCATCGCCCCCAGCCCACAATTGCAGCGATTCCGATGACATTGTTACCATTTTCATCGTTTATAGCCTCGTATCCTCCCCATTATCCCTCAACAATGTCCCCCGAAGAGGGGAGAGCAATTCACGCTGCAGTTTCACGAGAGCCGTCATGCACACGAGTAATATCTAATGTAGCCACAGAAGCATCTCTACTCCATTCAAAAACAAGAGGCGTGAGTGCAAATAAAGCCTGAGAATTGTTATGGTAGTACTCTAAGGCCTGGCAAATTCACAATAAACAGTGGTATCCCAGACATCATTTTATCTCCCTCGGTCATTTATTCTTATTTTCCTTTTATCAGCAACACGTTGCACATTGGAAAGTGAGAAGGGCACCCTAGGCTTTATACTCTTGCGGTTTGTTACTTCTGCAAGTATACCTGGTCCTTAGTCCTAACCTAAATGTCCAACGGAGACAACAACACTAACCTCAAAAGCTTCATATTTTATAACCCCGGGGGGATACGGTCTTTTATCCCCCGGGTGCACCCAGCGTGTCGAATTGAATAACCCAGTGGCCCCCATGGGGACAGGGTAACTGGGGGGACAGAGGGGGGACAGAGGGATGTGGAGAGAGTCGACTATACGATAGGTATTTTGACATGCCCGAGAAATTAGTATAATAAAGAAACTTTCATCCGAGAAAGATAGCGAGAATTTTTCAAGAGGGGGGGTAAGTGCCTAAACACACGCCGTAAATCAACCCCCGAGGTGCCTTTACCTCAAGGACCTCCGTGGGTGCCCACAAGTTTTTGGGCGCGAGAAAAGAGCCCCTTAAATGCTTTCAACCACTGGCGAAATAGAAAGCCAACGAGCCACCCCTATTTTTCATCCACCTTTTTCGTTCTTCTTTGGGTATCGATTGGCTGGTACTTTACGTTTGTTCAACGGTCTTTATCGCGTTTATAAGTTACAGCCCCGGGGCTCGTAGAGTTCATGTGGAAGGGCCCTCCGCGGTTTTCACGGGGGGGATCGACGTTATTTATTGGTCATTATGGGAGTGTGGTCTGAATGTCGGGAAAGTGAGAGACCGAATGTTGGAGTGGCTGAAGGTTTTACTGTAGTAACGAGGAGAGAAAAAATAGGGGATGAAATGTGAAGGTGAATGCATTATTCAGGTTAAACTCGAGGACAATGTTATAGCGTTTCATTTGATTAGTTAATCAACCGATAATCATCAAAATGATAAATTCGCGTACCGCTCAAGTTATCACGTACTCGCTCCTAAACTTTTATCTCTGTCTCTCAAACCGTCGAAATGCTCACCCAAACCCCAGTGAAAACTTCCATCCTAAAATCTCAATCTTCGCAAATTTACCGTGCATTGACTTGACGGGAAGAAAAAATAAAAATCTGCCGTAAGAGCGCGCCAATTTTTCCATCATCCCGAATACCTCACGTACATTTTTCCAGCCGTGAAACCGTAGCCATCGGGGATTCCTCGGTTTCCACCTCCTCCCTCAAGCCGATCGATCTCTTTCGCCGCTTGTAAGCGTGCGGATGTTGTCGTACGTGTCCCCGTGGATGCCTCCCACCCTCAATTCACTCCATACCTCTCCCACCGTTCAAACACCCGTTGAAAACGCAAAACAATTGCCTCGACGTAGGCGTGACGGAGTGGGCAACGCTTAGTCCTGCCCATCCGGACGTTGTCCTGAGGTGTGATTGGCGGAGGGTTACCGCGTCAGGATGGAATTCATCGGGGATTATGGTGCCCCGCCCACAAAGGCATCGGGTACGCGGGTGACGAGACGGAGAATTGCGCGCGCATCGTCATGCCGTCGGTGAACCTAACGACTGGTGGTTGAATCGTCGTGACAAAGTAGTAGGGGAAGCTCACTGGTATACGCTCCACAAACCCCACCTCAACCCATGGAAAAGCAAATGGTGGGGGACTGAGCCAACGTGGGAGGAGTAGGAGGTCAGTGGAGTTCGGGAAGTCGGTGAGCGCAGACGCGTCGTGCCCCCGGATAACTAGAGAGAACAATTTTAAAACGACTTTTGTGGGGTTTATCATTTTCGGTGCGTCGTGAGAAACATATCAAGAGAATTTTAACCAACTCGTGTTACTGAACGTTTTATCGTGCACTCGTGTTTTATTTATTTTCATTTATTTATTTTCTTCTTCATCGCGTTTTTCCTCCCAGTCATTGCAATTGACGCTTGAGGATTTGTTGACAGCCAGTGACGGATCTGTGATTTGCGGTGTGGGAACATTCTCAGGGGAGAGGACAGGGGTGTTCGGCGGTTTTTGATTTTTTTTTTTTAAATCAGTGAGTTGAATCGGTGAATGAGGTATGTCTACCAAGGGGGAAAGGGGTAAAGCCACGGACTTCAGCATCGCGGCCATCATGGCGCCCAGGGGTTCAACGTTTGGACATTACCACCTGCAGGGCCTTGGTAATGCTGCTGGCAATAATGTGGAATGCAACAACAAGGGATTCGTCGCTTCACCGAGTCTTGATCACCGTGAGTTTGTTTTGTAATATGTTTACCGTCCGACGGACAGTGGAAACACTGTGGAGGCTGACTCTTTCCCTCTCGTCGATCGCGGAATTTAAGTTTTTGATTTCTGGAGTGAGGGCCGGGGGGGAGGGTGATTGACACTTTGGCAATGGTGTTTTTAGGTTCGGCGGTAAGTGATGACAGGACACTTGGGTGGCCGGTATGTCGGCACAGATGAAAAAAAGCGGAATCTGATCTTTGGATTCTCGTGTTTCTCTTCTTTTTTGAGGGGATGGCGGATTTCTAACTACTTCCATGTGTGGACCACCAGAGAATCCTCCAATTTTCGGGATTTAATGGCTCGTGAACATTCTGAAATGTCACACCGTATCGTTTAGGGGAGTTGAATGATTTTTTTTTCACATGAAACTAACGAAAATTGAAAGATTAGGCTTTTATTTTATTGTCAAATTGTGGGCAGCCATAAGTAAGGAGTGAAAAGTATAATAGAAATGACGTGATAATTGTAATGGTTAGAAGTACATTCGGAAAAAATCACGCGGCTAACGATAAATTTGTCTTCTAAATTCCCTTGATTTCTAAATCCGCTGGGAATTATATATTTTCGGAGCCGGTCGTTTCATCATTTTCCTATTCGCCTTGACCTCATGTACAAATGATAGAGATAAGGCCAAAGTATATTTACACTTTGAATTCATAATACCTAAATACTCCTGGAAAATTCGTAGGGAAAACAGTACATTTTATAATTATCATAATATTATATAATATATTATATTATATGTTATATTATATATAAAATTATAATATTATATGAAGTTTTCCATCATTTTAGAGATAATTTCTGAGAAACTTTTTTCACGCTCCTCCTTTCACGAAAATCTATTCCAAGGGTTTGATGAAATGTGTTCTTGTTGAGGGATAATTATAAGGGGATGACACACCAGCAAAAGGGAGGAAAAAAAAGAAAAAAATTCAATGGTCTGGAAAAAATAGGGAATTTGGATAATAGTTATCGACTATTTACGTCGTTAGGTTGTTGTATCGGATTTACCGATTTTTCCTTGGGAATTCATCCCCCAATCGGTAGCCGGAATGATCATGAAGAATCCATTGATTGCTAAACCGCCGAAGGATGAGGAGCGCGTTTACGACGCGACAAAAATAAAAAGGAAGGCCTCCCTCTCTCCCCGTTCGTTACCCGTCGGTGAAAGTCCTTCTCTTCAGGGATGACCGCAAGTGGTTTATTGCACTCAATTACCATCGGCAGGATAATTGACGACCGGTTACTCACTAAAGGACTCCTCGCAGACCACTCGCCAGTCATTTTACTGTCGTACAGTCACCCAAGTGCCTCGCTAATATTAACATTTTACACCATCCAATTAAGTACGATAAAACTGTAAAGATATTCGTTGTTTTCTTTTTAAACTGCCGCCATTATCTTATTTCGACCAGGGTATATTTTTCCTCATCATTATTTTTTTCATCTGCATAGCTGATCATTCATCCACTGAATAATTTACCTCATTGCCCTTCAATTAGCCAAACAATTTGTCAAGCTATTCGAGTACTTTAATGAGATATTGGAAATCACGCTGGAATTGGTTCAAGTCATTTCGAGTCAGTTGTTATCGTAGAATCATTTGATGTGGTAATTCCAGTCATTGAAATCAATTTTCATTAGTCAGTTGGGTAATTAAAAATATTGATTTGACATCCTGCGAGTAAATTGATGAGCAATTAGTGGAGAATTTTTGGAATTAAATGCCAGGAAAAGTCGCAAGAGAAAGGCGATGACTCATAGAAAGCATTAGACACTAATTCTTATCGATTTTGAAAATCTTGAACTCAACCGGAAAGTCATGAATTTAAAAAAATGTAAAATGTACCCAGAGGTGATGTGATGACTTAATGGAAACTTTTGGAAATAGAGATATAGAAAGTTAGACATCGTCTAGTGTAATCATCAAATGGATCGGTGACTCCGCGAAAAATATCTAATCACGTGCATTGAGTAACGAAAAAGATTTTCGCACGAGTAAAATAATTGACACTGATTGTCTAATTGCCCGGTCAATCTTCATTGGAGTTTCACTTGCATTTTCATAATTAATTCAGAATTTAACTTAATTCTAATTAAGTCATTTCATAAGTTATTTTTCAAAAGTAAAATGGAGATTAGGGTTTAATTCAATTAAAGGTATTACCTTTTCGACTTTCCACCTCGGCAGTATAGAATAATTGAGGAAAGCGCAAACAATATCGATTCCGCAATTCAAAGAACAATTGAAATTAATTTCCGCGGCGTGGTTTTCTCCTGAATTTCCCTATTATTTTCCTCTTTCACACTCTCATACCTCTACAATTACCAAGGGATAATTCCTGAGCTCACACGAAGGCGAGAACTTGATGTTCTCACTTCTGGTGGCATCCGTGGGTTTTCAAAGATATTATTAGCGCCCTTGACGTGTAAAATGCGTGGCTGAAAATGCGCACACGCAAGGAATTTCCCCCCCGCCACCCCACCATTCCCCCTCTATTTTGTAAAAGTTGAATGTCGATTTACCGAAGCGAATAATACACACGCGATGGGAAAAATATCTTCAAATATGCATATGTATGCTAACTCTAAATAGCCCAATAGGCGCCCTTGCATTATAACGTAAAGTGTGTACATTGACGCGTACTTCAAACAAAAGAGTGTATTTTGCATTAAAATTAAGCCTCTCCCTTCTATCGACCATTTGTCGAGTATTTCCTTGCGCATCACTTGTTTACGTCTTTACAGTTAAATAATTACCCAGCGATGAGCTCCCGAGCGAACTTCATCGACACACGCGTGTACTGGGTGTTATTTACTAAATGCATATTATATACTGTAGCACGTAAAAGCCGTGAGCAGCTGTGATGTTCTCACGCCGGTAATTACCACTCTCTCGTGCTAACATTCGAGTGAGTATAAATATGGATGAATATATGAATTATTGGTCCAACGGAGGAAATGTCCCGCAGGACAGAATATCGAATCCTTTCCTGGAAATCTGGTGTACATATGTGGTATTCTGAGGTAATTGTAACACTTGTAGTCATGCTGGTCTTCGATGAAAACATCACGTCCCTCATTCAGGGAGAAAATTGCAGAAAAAATCAAATGCGAGAGTCCTGATCGTTCCGCTTAATCCCTCCTGTGAGAGAACAACTTCCCCCCATCCTTCTCCATCGACTTCTTATCACTCTAAATTGCACATGAATACGTATTTATGTGGTATTTATGCGGGCATGCCATCGCCGTTTACCCTTTTTTTTTCGTCTTTTTTATCTCGCCAACGAATTAGCTGTCGTTCCATGTGTAACGATATCTCGATAATCTGCTGGTGTACATTTTCTCTGGTACTGAAAGCATTTAGACATGCCGTGGTTTGCGTTAATAACTATTACTGCATTGAAAGAAAAAATTACTTTCGTTCCGAAATAATTTTTAATCCCAGCACAAGTTTTAGCGTAAGTTTACGGATTACTGAGAGTATTACGTATCTGTATACATGCATGGAGGAATTTTTTTTTTTTGCCGGAGTAGTTTTTCTCCGTGATTTTTGCAGAGTGGAGCCGATCCGAGGTCTTTGCAATCATTTGGATGGTAATTAAAGGCGGGTAAATGACTCGTCATGGATGATTTTTGTCGGGATGTTTAGCTCGCCTGAGGCCGCAATCAGTCTGGGGCAGGGGGGACCGATAATAGAGTAATCGATGACCATGAGTCAAGCGTTTCTTTGGTTCTACCAATAAGTTTCGACGACAATATGGTGGAGAAGAGTCAATGCGATGGTAATTAGGGTCGAAAAAATAGAGAGAGAGGAAAATTATGGTGATAGAATACCCTTGCTGACGCCTTCCATCTACTGTGGGATTTAAAAATCACGTAGACTAAAGAAATTAACGGAATTCACGTGGAAATTTTCTTTATTTATTCATTATTAAAAACAGGAGTTTTAATATCTCCATTACCGTATTTTTTTCCGCAAATTTCTCTCGATGTGTTGAAGAGAATATGAGTATTCCAGTATAAATATTTAACTTATCATATTATTAATTAAAAAATTCAAGAATTACAACTACTATTTCATCATCATATGATTTCCATAGGAATGATCGCACTTGGTGAGAAATCAGAGCGAGTCATTCAAAAGTCATTCGGTGTATTAAGAAAATAATTACATCGGACTTGCAACGCACGTTCCGATATCGATGCAAAACATTATATTTATAACGTAAAAAATCATCGCCATTTCATTAGACGATAATAAAATAGTCCTCAGACGGTATCAATTTGCATCAGCTGGAAAAATCGAAAATGCAGAGTATTATTTCATCATCACGGTCGTAAGAATAATGGCAGGTTATTCGAGATAAAAAAAAACAGAAGCTATTGGGTGAATGAAAATAATGAAATAACGATGAAAAAAAAAAGAATCTAGTAGAATGAGGGAGCTGGGGTGTGGATATTTATTTGCAATGAATGATGATAAATCATTGATTATTTCCGCGTGGAGAAGTCGAAAGCGCCGGTGGCCAAATTAATCACGTGTGTAAATCCTCGGGTGTACAGCACTGGTGGTTCGGTGTTGGCTTGTGCGAGATAGGTAAATAGTTTGCATAACTCACGTCAACGTGTGGGGGCCTCGCACAGTATATTTGCTGCAAATGTACAGAGAGGGTGTGTCTGTACCGCTCACCTAAGGGAAATTGCCGAATTTTCATTTTGGATTTCAATGTGACCGTTATAAAAATATTTTCAACTCTTCTCGCACTGTTGAAATTATTTTCTTCAAAGTACCCGCGCAGCCAACTGATTCTCCATAAAATCCACACAATCAATTAACAATTAAAACCAATTAATCATTGAGTGGTCTAACCTGCCTTCGGTTACACAGAGAAAAAAATTGTAATCTTAAATTAACCGTATTGTATAAATTATTCTTGAATATAACATTTTATTTCACTCCATAATTTCATCCATTTGGCAAAAAAGTTAAAAATTTGGTCACGTGTAATGAATATTCTTCACGCCAGATTTTTTTCTCGGTGTAATACGCTTCGACGTCAACAAAATTGTTGATAATTACGGGCGCGAGGGGAGTTTTGAGTTTAAAATTGTGAAAGATGTTATAATTACATTATATGGAAATGGTAATCAGAGGGGATTTCGTCAGGGGAAGGGAAAGTTTTCAGGCTGTGGAGAACATTAGGTGAGCAGTATTGTCGTCTAGGTCCTACCTTAAGTACTTTTTGTTCATCTAGTAAATGCAACACGGATCGCACGAGAAAATAACTGGCGGGCTTGTTTAACATGGGTGTAACAACAGCTCGGCAAAATCGGGAATTTATTTCTCCCAAGCCAGCACAATAATCGGTGTCGTAATGCGTTCAGACGTACGCGATGGAGGGGGACACTGTGAGCATTTGTTCAACGAGGATTATAATAATCGCACGTTCGCGTGAAAGGTTCCTGGACACGATCGTTTGTTACGATAAATGCCTTGTAGTTTCTGTTTCGCAAATGTGCCCTGATCGGCGTCAGTTTTACCATCTTTCAGAGGATTTCATTGAAAGTTCACCAATCTGGGAGACAATCGAGTAATTGTGCAATTATTTTAGATCACACTATTCATTTCTTGATTTTAGAATGATCTCAGAAAACCCGGGGAGCGTATGCGATGACGTTGAAAGGGCAGGAAAATGTCACCGTAGATTGACAAAACATGATCGGTTTACGCGATTACTCCCGAGTGCCGAAGAAATCTTCGAAAATTATTCATCTTCGTATTTTTTTATTCAAAGTTAAATTTTATAAAAAACAAAATTTTTTATTTATTATAATTTTTTATAATATTGCGGGCGCAAATTAATGAACGGCTAATCAGTGACTAATATCAAGTTGTAAATGAATAACTGTTAGATAATAGAAATTTTCTGTTCGATGTTTACCAATTCAGAAAGTATCATTAAATTAATATTCGCAATTTAATAATATTACATGAATTAATTGCGATTTCCTGTTATATTCTCGAGCGCAAAACGGTGAGAGAATTCTACTAATTAAATATTCAACTTTATAAAATTGGATTGCCTCCATTATCAGTGTTAATTACAACGGGAGTTGATAATACAATTGCGTCTCCGTAATTTCTTCGATCGAATGATTCTTTTTAAGTGTGTGGCATAAAGCGATAAAAAATGGGAATATAATTTATAATTTGGAATGCTCTGCTTCCAGACCATTAATCGGAAGGTGATTTAATACAGTTGTTTCTTCATAGAGTGTTAAAGCAACCATAAACACCGTCATTATTGGCCGCGATAGCCAGGGCAAATGATGGTAGTCAAAGTTGTCCATTCCCCTGAAAGCCTCTCATCCCGCATCATCCAGCGTAATAAAACAACAAGTTCGTTATAAAAACGGTAGACAGTTGTCGTTGTCAATGAATAAAACCGCAGAACCAGTTTTTGGAATATGAATGAAGTTGAGGTGAATGTGAAATCCGAAGAGGGGACGAAGTCACCGCGAGAGACATAATTACCCGCGAATTATGACGGGATCGAGTTGAAGTTGAACCACTCGAGGAGCTAAAAAAAGAGAAAGCTGCCCCGAAGGATGAAGCTTTTATGTCTATAATTTTTCTTCTTTACGATGATACATGGCGTAAAGCATCGATGCGATCATTAATGATTGCGTTAATTAGACTCGGATGTCAACGATATGTTCGCTGGAAAAATTCAATGATTATTTATCTATAGTTCATGATTAGGAGACTGCGAAATCCGTATCGTAAATGCATTCCGTTAGGTGGTGGATCAGAATATCGTAAAGTTACTTAACACATTTGAAACCAATTAAGATTGAAATCGTGAAGTCTTGGAAAAGTTTAGTAATCGCGATGATACAATCCATAATTCACTGATGGCTTTCTCCAAATCAACATTCCACAGTTTTGATCAGAAAAATATATCGAATCTGTAAATAGATGAGCGATAATCCTTATCAATCGTCTCTCAAGCTCACAGATGACGAGGATTTTGTATTTCCACAAAACCTCACTTGATTCAATAATGAAATTTCTGTTCGGACTCAATCAGGGAGAAAGAGAACATCTCAGTAATTGGTACCCTAAATTTGGGGTAATTGTAATGAAAGTGTAATTATGCCCTGATTTGACGGCAAAAATTCAAATATTAATACCGCCCAATAAATAATAAATGCGTCACCAGGTGTGTTTACAGAACATACCCAGAATGTTTACGACGGTTCTTCAAGTTGTATATCATGAACACCTCTTCCGTTAATTATTACCCTACCAGTCGCCGGCGATTGCATGCAAGCGTTGACAGTATCCCCGACTCTTAATGGGCCTCCTCTTTATTTTATTCCTTCCTCTCCTTCTCCATCAAGTGTTGAACCTCAGAATTTAATATTCTCTAATTAAGAATTCATTCAATAAATTACCACAGAAAGTCCTTGATTACTAAAACCCTCGAAATTTCAAAGTGTTTTTTTTTTTCTTTTTTTCACCCAGGTGTTGCGAGATCATCGCCAGTTAATATCGTGGCAACCGCAACAGTAGTTACAGGTGATGCACTCCTTGACGACGATGATGATGATGAGGTTGACGAGGGTGTGGGCGAGGCTGAGAGCGAGGGAACGGAGAAATCAGCGAATGGTGATGATGAGGAGGTGGACGTTGATGTTGAAGAATGCAGTAGTTTGGATGATGGTCCACTTGGTTTATCCGATGGCCTCACTAACCGCAAGTTCAATGGTAGTAATTCAGCGAGTAGAAAAGTGCCACAACATAGACGAACCACGTGTAATTCCGAGGAGCTTAAGAATATTGACTGTCACTTGGAGACTAAGGAGCTGTGGGACAAGTTCAATGAACTTGGCACCGAGATGATCATCACTAAAACTGGCAGGTGAGTCTCAGTGAATAGGAATAATAATAATCTGGTATATATACTAGAGATAAAAACATGTAAATAATGGCTGAGCAATGTTCTGCGTTATTTTTATGATATAGTTTGTGGTAAGGCTATTCCGAATATGAACTCGAATCATCAGTCAGTGGTCACTTGATACCACCCGTGCAGATGAAATATACGTAGATGAAAATAAAATTTTTCGAAATGAACGAAACTTATGATGATTATAACGAAATATAATTTACACTTGGCGATCGTAAAGCTCCTCGCGGGTTGAAGTGGTGTCCAATTTTATAGGTTATGCTAATAAAGTGCGCGCGGGGTCGACTGCAGCTGCATGCCTCCTTTCCGCCGTATTCACCGGGATGCGTGACCATGTCGGAATTATGAGATATTCGTGCTAACCGTGTGTTCTATATGCGTATATATATTATATTGTATACGCACCGAAGCGCACGGTACACCGTAAGAGAATGACCAAGCATTTGGCTGAAAAAATATCACGAGGGAGTGATCCCAGAGCAACCGACATCGCGATGGTCATCTCGTCGGCAATCGCTCTCTACTTTTCATTGAAATTTCCACCACTTGTACATCAAGTTCATTACCAATCATTCGCGTGTTTGTTCGTGATAACGTGCGCTAATGAAGAAATAAAGTTTTCATAAATAATATGGGAATGAAATTTCGTCGCTTCCCATTTGGATTATCATGAGTCATTAGGATGATTAATTATATCCTGACGTGTGTACAAGGAATGGGTGGTGCTGGCACACGAGCCCGGTAAGTTGATGTTTCTATAACCATCAGATCCCCTCTGTCAGCTTACAATAATACACAACTCGATATTGTTGTGAATTATCAGCGTAATGCGTGAAATTTACCTTTAAATTTTTCATTCTCACAAAGCCATGGCGGAGAAACCGCCATCGATTCGTTTTGGCTTGTTAGCCTTTTTCCAAATAGTAGAAACACCTATTTTTGGGAAAGTCCCTTCTCGTTAGGGAGGGCTCAGTCATCCACGCGTACTGTATTACCTTTTTCCAGTCAATACCAAGCACTGAATTTATACCAATCAGGTGGAATTGTGCTGCACAGCTGGGGGGTTGGAGACGTCGAAGGCAGACGGATCTTTCCCACGATTCGGCCTTCGGAGGAACCTCGCCATTCAACACATTCCTCCGAGACATTCAATGCCGACGCGAGAATAATGCACAGATTTGTAACTTGAGGCGGGGGTCAAGAACAGGGAAATTAAATCGTCAGGGGCTTTGCCAGCGTCAAATTTGGACCATTACGTAATTCCTCGCTTATTTCAGAAAAAGCCATTTCTTTTCTCAATTCTCATTTCCGAGTTTAACAGTTACATTAATAATAATACAGGTAGAGAAGAAAATAGAGGATCACCATTAATTACTCTCGAGCTCAATAGTCTTTACACTCCATAAATGAATTGTGAAAAATTTTGAGATCTTAGTCCCAAAATCATCTGGATTTTCAATTATATAACTACTTCAAAAAGTTAAGTTCAATTTTCGATTACAACTTAAATATTATATTCTTATTATCATGCAGCCTGAGATAATCATTGTAATCCAATGTTTGGTGGAAATTTCCAGTAATATAGAATAGTAGTAATGCTCGTAATTCCTTGAAAGCCAATAGGCAAGGTTACCCATCGTGAGGGTAAATTCGACAATAAATTTTTCTCGTTTTATACTCTTTAAAAACGCTAGAAGTGAGTAGGTGTGGACGAGCAGGTCAGTAAAGACAGGATGCAGTGGTATAGTCACGCGAACCCTTCATCAACGCTACCAGCAACCTACATTATACACGATGTGTGTAACAACGTATGTACACAAGGTTTTGTTGAACGTACGGTAGCTCAGTCGTACTACACACAAAAAGTTAAGTTTCCTATACAAAACGTACAATGAGAAAAAAAAAAGAGTTCATTGGAATCGTTGAAGGGGGAGAGGGAGGGAGGGGATCCAGGGGCCTTGCCCCGTCACTCCAGGTCTGGTGTAATGTACGATATGGTTATAATTATTATAGCGACACCACCTGGCTAGGAGGGACTGGTGAGTCGTTAGGCAAACAGCTCGATGACTATTGACTCCAAAATGTGTTAAACATCGACAACCGCTTCTGGTTCTCCTCAACTCCAACAATTTACCACCGAAAATTGCTTGTCATTCGTCGAGAATCATAAATCCAAACGGGTAATTGTCGGGTGATACGCACTTGCAGAAAGTTTAATGCGAGTTAGATGATTAATCTTCGGTTCAATTCTTCTTAGACGTGCGTTCCAGTGGCGAAAATAATTGTTCAATTGATCAAACAGTTATGAGAGTTATAATTGATTTTTTTACGACAGACAGTTGGAAAATTATACATGAAATTTCAATGGGTATGGAAATTCCAGCTCTCATGGAAAAATCAATTACCACTTAAAATGAAGAAGTATATTTTGCGGAATTTTCAGAATGAATGAGACGTTTGGTGAGAATTTTTAATTGGAATTGAATGTAAGCTCATATAATATATAATAATATATAATTGGCAAGTCAGGTGAATAGGTGACTAAAATTTAAATAAATTTTCAACGGTGTAAACGATAATTCATAGTGAAATGCACTGTATCTCCCCGTCACCATGGTTATTAATTTCTTGTCAATTCCCTTGTAATCAAATTTAGCACAGATATTTCTCCCAGAGAACTCACACATAGACACGAGGGGGAAGCTGGATTAAATATAAAGCAATTATCCGAGACTGTAGCTAAACTGATTCATCATTGGGCGTTGAATAATTAATCGAATCCTCCGCCATAATAAATCGCTTCATCGATACGATATTTATACTGGAACTACTCCAGTAATTTGCCACAATAGGATGCTGAAGATGCCGCAGAACTGGAGGGCCGTGAAATTTTCGTACCAATCGTAGTATAGGGCAATGGAAGCAACGATAGCGTGAAGGAGAATGAGAAGCAAAACTGTCAGACAACACTTTGAGGCCCGGGACGAAGAGAGGCTAGAAATTCCTTGGACTCTGGCATTGGATGTTTGCATGGCAGGTGTCCTGTTGTGCCTACCCCTTGCTGGTTTCCTCAAGGTCTTGGCCAACTCGTCAGTCGGTCTTTGGGTACGAACTGAGTGAATCCCCGCGGGTTGGCGTTTTCTCGAGAGACTACATGGGACCATTTCCGCCCACCCCAGGGGACAAGCACCAAAGTTGTCACCCTTGTTGATATTGTTGTTGGATATCGTTCGGCATCGGTTACGGGGATTGCATGGACCAGGACAAACGATTTGCTTTTCCCTGTACGTGCGTCTCCGCGTGGGACGAGACATCATTGAAAAACTACCAACCACTTCTATTTACAAGACCTTCAGGGTTTTCACGATTTTTTTTCTCTCACCCTTGTGACCCTCGCGCTCACCCTGCCATATGTTTCACTGTGTTCCTCGCGCGTGGATTCGCATGCATTAGACGACTAGACTGCTTTCACAATTTGTCACGTTTAGAGTTTCATGACATCAGGATGTCTTGACAATAGTTAATTCACCCGGAATTTAGTGGCATCGTCTATTGATAATGTCCTTGTGACAATAGTTTGGTTAGAAACCGTCAAAACAATCGATTGTTTTTTATGCTTGCAGGCGGATGTTCCCAACGTGTCGGGTGTCTTTCAGTGAGTTGAGGCCTGAGGGAAGGTACTCTGTACTCATGGATATCGTACCAGTTGATGACAAGCGGTACAGATACGCCTATCACAGGAGTTCTTGGCTTGTTGCGGGAAAAGCTGATCCACCGGCACCACCTAGACTATATGAACATCCTGATTCACCGTTCACTGGGGAACAGTTGAGGAAGCAGGTTGTGTCCTTCGAGAAAGTCAAGCTCACTAATAACGAGATGGATAAACACGGACAGGTGAGTTCTAGAAGTAGATCAGATCATTAGATTATCAAACCACGGCTTTATTACTGCTATATTAGGGCCTCAAATTTTCAGGTTTTCTACTTGAAATTGAAATTCCGATGTAATTTTAATAATTTTTTATGAAAAATGAGAAATTTAGTTAATGTTTTTCATAGAAATTGAATATTTAGATGCCTATGGACAAAAATATCGTTCGTCACTCAGTCGAAAAATAAATTTGTCTCGCATTCGAATTTTCTATTAAAAAAATCAGTTTACGGTGGCACCGAGCGCGTGGTGGAGGTAGTCACATATAATCCGATTCTACAAAAGCGCTTCCCCTATAGCCCCATGCACTGTAATTAATCGGAAATTCATGTAATTTCGTGACTGAAATTTCAAGAAATGCTCAACAGTGTAATAAATGAACCAAAAAAAAATGGACAAGTCAAATCAAGTTGTTAGTCAAACTGACTAACGATACCTTGAATAAAACTGTCGATGTGATTTTAGCCGTGAGAAATTTCCCTTTGGACTTTTTTCTGCAGTGCGAAATGGCCTTGTCGATCAGTTGACAAGGCAATCTCTCGTCTCCTCGTTATAATATCGTAGCATCGTGACTACTCCTGACGTGCTAACTGTGCGTGCATTTTACCAACCCGCCAATCGTTCCGCGTCAATAAACCGACATTTTCATATACCCATCTCCACATTCTCGCCTGCTAACCGGTTAGTTTTTTACGAAACGATTGAGGATGTGCTTTTTTTTATCATCATCCAAAACATTTTCTTTTGACCGTGGAGACGTCTTTAACACTGAAAACGAGGAGGACTATCGCTCCCCGGGTACATTATGGTCGTTATTACCAGGAGGTGGGTTGAAAACGGAGTGCATGGGGGCATCGTAGGTGGGTTTTGTTGGGTTTTGTGCTGACTCTCACACCTCCAAGTCTTCTCTATAAGCTAATAAATTCAATGGGTGTTTGCCTGGAGCTTTTGTCATGATGATCATGGGCCCACGCCCGGTTTACCACAACTTTGCCACTTGCCCATCTATTCTAAAACCCGCTATGCACCAGCCTTTGTGCATTCTTTCTCAAAATGTTGTACATGGCTCGAGTACTTGACAGGGTTGATCCACACCCACACGATCACCAGAGGATTCTCTAAGACGGGAGGTGAGAGAATCGTGTGATTTGGATTATGCACTGGCAAGGGTATTAGTGGAGGTGAGAATTTTGTGTGTGAATATGAGAGGGAAGTGAGATGAAAATGAGATGGAGAAAACCGGGTAAAGAGCCAGTCTCCGGTGTATGAGGTTGGAGAATGCTAACGCCAGTCTACGAGAGCTACTCAAGTGGTAGAGAGAACATTCCACTGGCTATGGCCACTATTTCATCGTTTCGTATGACGCGATATTATAAGACCCCCCGTCTACCACACAGAGCTACTACATGGTGGTCCGAAAGACACTTGGAGATACATCAACCCTTTGTTCTTCCATTTCATGGCTTCCGCGGTGCTTCTTTTGCGGTTCACTTGTAGAAATTTCGTTAATTTTCAGTATCGCGTCTAAATGTCACTAGTACTTCCAAATTATCGGGGATTTTGTACAGTTTAAAAATGCCGAGTGCAAAGCAGGAGCAAAATTTCCGAAATAAAACTGTTTGACAGCGTCGAATACTGCGCCCTGATTGGCTGAAAGCTGAGGTTGATGAGTATGAGTATTATCTACTGAGATGAAGTGGTCTCAACTAAATTGGACTTCAATTCTATTTCAATCCTGAATCCCGCAGAGAACTTCTATTTATGCCAGGAATGTCAGATCAAATACCGCGATTGATTAGATGAAACAGTTGGAAATTCAACAATCAATTTTGAAGAACCACATCTGCAGAGATAACAAATTCCAAGAAATCGCTGACTCTTACAGAAAATCGACACAAGATTAACAAAATTCAGGAATTCTAATTATCGGACGCAATCCAGAAATTTTTTGCCATTTTTTTCTCCACGTACATAGAAAAATTCGCTCGAAGCAAGTTCCATCGGAGTTTGCACTGGAAGCCTTCTCATATTACCCAAAATTGCCCAGGACACCTAGAAATCGTTCTCACGCGAATTGCAAACGTCTCGGGGTGATGAGGTGTTACATTTCCTGGGGACAAAAAAAAATCATAATGTAACGATCAGAGCAGGTCGTGACTGAATTGAGCTTGAGATTTTTCTCCCTGTTAATTCCCCCTCATTGAATTTTCTCACTCCTCCCTCAGCATTCTCATCGATTTACATACACAGTTAGAAAGCCCGTGTTGTAACTTGTAAATGCGATAGGAGGACGATATGAACGCGTGTACCGAGCCCGGCAGAGCGTGTCGTGACAACCTTCCCCGGTGGTTTCATTTCTTTTGTATCATCCTTCAGTTAGCTTCTGAAACGAGACATTGGAGAAAGCGAGAGGAGAGAAAAAAAAAACTAAATTGAAGAGGAGTCATCTGTGCTGATGGAGTTCTGAAGAGTTCTGTATAGCTTCTTGGCGTCTCATAAACTACACCGTCGAAATGGGCCTGAGACGAGGACAACAACAAATGTCATGACACCAGTCCACCGTCTTGACACTCTTTAAATGCCCCCGTCATTTTTGCCCCACTGTCCGGTAAATATAGGAATCTCTCATCTCTCACTGACCACCTTCCAAACATATTTTACCTCTTTACTAACTCAAAAGAAACTAATGCCGCATTAGAAAATATGAAATGATTTTGAAAAACCAGAAAACATCTCTCCAGAAAAAAATCTATTACTGTCTCGTCTATATATATATAATAATAATAACATTGGAAATGTTTATTTATTCAGTAATTTTTAGTTGCGGGAAAATTCTCGGGAATTTCTGCGGAAATTTTCAGTGCTAAACGGAGCGTTTTGTTCAGGTGCAATTATAGCTCATTCGAGGCTTCTCAGAACCGCCAGTTTCATTTACAATTAATTATTATTTTCACCACAAATACTTAATTAAGATGAATTATTGTTCAACTAATGATCGTCTATGCGTGTTCTATTTCATTCCATCCCCATAATTTATGTATCTACAATCACCCCCAGGATTTATAGTGTTCGAACAACTTTCATACGATCCGCTACAGATAATATCTTTGTTTCAACGAATGACTCAATCTCCATCAATCCTAGAATTAACTAACAACTTAATATTCCAGCGCATTCCGCAGTTGTCGAACGCAATTTTTCAAGAGTCCATAAGTAAATTAATTAACTTTAATAATCATTACATCGATGAATAATTGTTTTCACCAAACGAATTGTCAAATAATTCTCAAAAGTCGGTCTTTCATCAAAATATCCCTTGTTTTTCTAATGATTTATCTTTTTCTCTTCACGCACCTGAAGATACCGTTAATCCATCTCTAAATGATTATCAAGCCTCACTCAATTACCAAGCACGGACATGATGCGAGATCATTTAATTGCACCAATGACAGACAGTCTCATGCTCCCCGGACATGTTAATCTCCCTAATTACTCGGTATTAAGATCACGTTGTTCAGTGATAAAATGTCGTTAATCCGAGGAAATATTACAATTTGTGATATCTCCAACTGGCGCCTAATTACATAACCAGTTGTAAATACCGCGATCGATATTCCCTGGTGTAGGTTAAAAAATCAGCGGCGTTCCTCCCCGCCGTGATTAACTCCCATATTCCGACGGAGGGAATAGCTGAGGCTCAAGAGAGAGGAAAAAACCCGGGAATGATTATGCGAGGGAAGAGGAACGAAAAGAAAAGTCGAGCGAGTTGGTTATAAATCGCGCGTGTAATGCCGCTATCAACGTGTATTACATGGATGGCGCGTTGTTTGATAAATCGCCACATGCAAATTGTGCTCCCGATACTCGGTGAGCTCTAGCTAGAACTATTACACTTGAGGAGTAACAACGCCGTTCCAGTGAGGTTGGATCAAAGAAACTCGCTCGATTCCTTGGCTACTCCATTTAAAATTTTCATGGAAAATTTACCCCGGGTTCAATACACAGAGATCAAAATAACAGTTTATAATTTTTTGTTGTTCTATCTTCTATTTGTCACTTCATCCCAATAAAATGTAGAAAATAAGTCGGATTTTTTCATTTTGATATTGATGTTTTATAGAAACAAAAAAAGGGAATTCTTTGGTGTAGTTTGTACTCATCACACTTTTTACTACATTGTCAGGGTTAAAATTCCTCGAGAGCCAATACGCTATATGATTACAAAATGCCAGGGTAAATCCTACGATAAATTTTTCTCCGTACATGCCTGCGGCCATATTCACGTAAAACCCAGTAGCCAATCCTTTTTCAAGGTATTAGTCCCTCGAGATTATAATTATCTTCCGTAGATCGGAAGGTAATAGTGAGTGAGAGAGAAATGCTGAAAGGAGAATTAAAAATAGAATGAAATTTTCGTTGGCTCTGGCTTGCTCGCAACATGACTCGGTGAAAATTATTAAATGGATTTTAAAACGCCGGATGTTGGTTGGGCATGCTATTATGTTAATTTATTAGGCGTTGAAGAGACATACGGGGGCATGCTTCCTGAGAGAGATGTGTGGATTACTGCCTCTGGAAAATTAGTGGAAGTCATTTGTTTGAATGTTAATTAGAGACAAATGAAATTGAATTTTTCAATTGAATTTTAACTCTTTTTAACGCCAAATAAATGAAGCAGAATGGATTTCATCTACTGGGCTAAAATGGCTTTCGTTTCAATATGTGGGCATGTGGAGAATTAACTCAGCGAATTAAAGATGTCTGCGACAGGTTTATCAGATGCCGAAGCAGGAATGTTCCCTTTATTTTTTGCACATACCTCGCACCTACGTTATAATATGTAAACGAGATCGTTCAGGAGGTAGGCATCATATCCAGTGACGTTTTAACGTTTGTGGTGGGGAGTACCTGGTGAGAGAAAAGGCCCCGGAGCTCGGGGCCACCTGCGGGCCGTTAAACAGTTTCAACAGTTGCTGGGTCCGTGGCTCTCGCAGCCGCCACCATAATTCATATTAGCGATAATACATGTGACTTGGTTTACCTCACATAATTTTTTATATCATCTTCCTGAGCTAATTGGTTCTGATGGTCTTGGAGAAGTTGTGCGTGCGAGACATTTTTGTTCCAAAAACACGCAGAATACCGCATCCATATTCATTTCTATTTCTCTGCACTCTATCCCTGTATTCCCCGTACACATAAAAATTCATTAAATTTTCGGTCACAAAGTCATCTGAATGTTTGATTATGAGTTTAAAATCATTTTCAATGAAAAATCCTCTCTCCTCTCTCTAAATTTCTCATTTACCTCAAGAATTCAAAAGAATTGGATTTTTCAATGGGCATTTTTCCAATGGAAATGCCACGGGATCTTCCCCTAAAATCGTTAACAATTAAATTCAGCAGAATTGATTTCGTCCTAAAGTGTCGGTGTCATTCGATTCGAGAGTAACTTTGTTCCTCCTCTGAGTCGGTGGAGGCTATTCTCTAAAGCGCATCGTATCCTGGTGCGACAGGAAATCGATAGTAAAGTTGACTATCGGAGGATCGCGTGTTCACTCGTATAAAAGCGCGTGCTTCATCGAGGTATCACGCGAGACCCGATTCCTACCGTTCTGTCCATAAATACATAAATGTTACAATCGTGTGCATCAGGCCGCACATATCCAAAGTATTTTCTCATTCCTACGACAAGTTGCAGAGACCTCACTCCTCTGATGCAGCCGATAAGAATTGATTCCTATCGATATCACCAATACGCGGATACATATGCGCGGACACTGACTCTGATATATACATCAACGTCGCCGTTCGTTCTTAATTTATGGATTCCATAAATTAATTACGACAGAGCGGCCAAACGCGTTTTAATTAAGGTTTTAGTTTTTAATTAATGGACGCCTGATCGGTGTATTTTTCTTCAATCCCCTCTTGCTTGCTTTTACCGATAATAACACACGACAGAAGCATTTATTTAATTTATTTCATTTGCAGATTGTATTGAATTCGATGCATCGATATCAGCCGAGAATCCACTTGGTGAGGTTGCGAGGCAAGGACGAGGAAAAGGGCCACAAAATAAATGATTTGAATAAAGAGGAGCACAAGACTTTCATATTCCCCGAGGCTATTTTCACCGCAGTCACTGCCTATCAAAATCAATTGGTGGGATATTTTAATTATTTACCTTGGTGAACTCAAGTCGTATGATTTTACTTAAGGGTGACAGTTCGCTGAAAGCGAAGCACGAGCACCATTCGTGATTTCCAAGATCAATAATTTTTTTTTAAACTTAATAAATTACGGCAGCTATTCATTAATTCGTTGTGCCCATTTATATTTAAATTTAGTTGGGATTAATGAATGCTGTTTATTTTTTTAATATTCCTCGAAATTATAGCAGCTTAAATGAGATGCATGATTTAATGAATAATTTTATTCAACATCTTTAACCGAATACATTTTACTCAACAGATAACTAAATTGAAAATCGACAGCAATCCCTTCGCCAAAGGATTCAGGGACTCCTCCAGACTGACTGATTATGATCGGTGAGTTGAGATCCATTATCTCCATTTTTACATTCTCGAAATATTTTTGTGACTCATTCAGCGCTCCTTTCGGTACAAAAATTCCTCATCCTGTGCTCGATCCGGAGATAATTTCAGAAGTGCTCTCAACTCTCGACGAAAACCCAAAACCCGCCCATCAAAAAGTCTGGACCCACCTCCAACAAATCAACACCTGTCCCTTTATTATCCCAAGGGTCCGGTCGGTGGATATTGAAGCCTCTTTCGGGAAATTGTGATATCCAATGGATGACGCAAATTACGATCTTTTGGGTCTAGAGAATTAAAAACGGTCAATTGTTTCCCCCCTGTATTTGGACAAGATTTTCACATTCCCATGACAACCAATAAATACCGAGACAAAAAAATAGAGGTGATCTTGCCAATCCGCGGAAACCCGATAATCCCCCCTGAGAATTCCTTCCAGAACGTAAAAATATTAGTCAAATGAATTTCGCCAATTCCGAAGGCGAGCCGCAATAAAATACTGCGAGAAAGGGGAGCATAAGCGAAACGCGGCGACGTGTCGCGCAAGTCGAGTACCTGAAAACCGTAGGAATATCGAGCTTTGGGGCGCGGTCCAGCACGTACGAATTATCAACCGGTGATGATATCCCTCCGGAGGAGCGGCGGTAGAGCGACCTGAAGGATGTGTTAGATGGTCTGACCGTGGCTCACACATACACATATAAATGCCGAAAAAGCCACGGCCGATAACACGTAACATCGGAGCGCATGCGCATGCTGCCGCCTGAGTGGCGGCATTCGAGTTAATAAGAGAGCGGTCTTACGGGGCAATACCGCGCATGCGCCCGCCCACTTCACGCCGGCGCTGATAGATAGATGCCCCTCCGGCCACTTTAGCCTCCCGGCGGATCCTCACACCCCTTTTCTTTTTTATTTTTCCCTCCACCCCATCCCTCCACATTTTTTTTTCAAACCAACTTTATCCTTTCGTTTCTACTTTCGCATTTCTCCACGGTTATACGCCCTTGTCCTGTCCACGTACGAACGTATTTCGCCCGTCTCTTCATTCTTTTTTGCTTCTTCATCGTTTCGAGAGTATACCGGAGGGCAAGGAGGGCAGGGCATTCATCTATATTAGCTTCGAAAGCGAGCGGCCTGTCATTACCGCCTGCCGCCTCGCTCCACCACTACCCAACATGTATACATATACACACATACATACGACATACACAAGTTACATTAGCCCTCGCCGACGAGTAGGAGGATGGATGATCTTCGGGGTGAGAAAAAGGGGATGAGTGAGAGGGGGGTAGGGTTCATTGGTGAACGCTAATAACTGCCGTTTAAAACGCAAAAACAAAAGAACTGGCACAGAGAGCCAAATGGGAATATGAGTAAAAAGAAATGGGAATGGAAAAAAGTAAGAGGGATCGATGCTCGATCTCACCGCGCATGATTGCCATGGGGGTATATTGAAGGTGAAATAATACCTCGGCAAAGGCGTCAGGGTCATTACCGGATCATTACCTACCTGTACCCTACCGTGCGACGAGAATGATGGAGACTGGGAGAAAAGCCGCCAGATATCGCTTGGCATTTTCGCGCACGATCCCTAAACGTCCACACGCGCTACATGCACCGCCAGAGATGAATAAAAAAGGGGAAATCCCCGGAGATGGAGCGAGAGAGCTGCACCGGCTGCGCATACTCTCGCACGCATATCGGTGGAGATCATGTACATGGATCGAGGTTTTACCGGGTGAGGTGGAAGAGCGAGAGGAGTCGATGTGCCGCGGTTGGCGGCAGCCCGGGTAAATTACAGGCTCGAAAACCGTATTTTGTTGTTTTGTTGTTTTTCAACGCGCCGAAAGGAAATGAGCGAGCAAACGCGTCACGCCACCCCGAACCTGCTAATTTCTATTCATATTTTATGGCTATTAATTTCGACGCCGTTACCCATCTTACCGCGCCTCCTCTCACACCGAAAAGCATGTGTGTGGGTATGAGGGGGACGAGGGGGGTTACCTGCAGTTTTTTTATAGGACTTTTGGTCCATTTGAGGCCGGGTTTCGAGGCGCTTTCGTCGGGATTTCGTCTTTTTCAACACTTCAGTCTTACGAGGTGCGCACCACGTCTGGTGGTTTGCAGGTTATAAGAATTTGAATTTGGCGCGGCAACCCTACTGACCGATAGGGCATAACTGTCTCTGTCATCCGGGGGCAAATGATTTCAGGTATTTCGATGAGGTTTTAATGAGATTTTCTACATTTTGGCCTATCTGTTATTAAACAGCCGATTCTTATAGATCACCATCTTTTTTTCTTTCGAAACAAAAATATTTATCAGTAGCGAATTGATGAATCGGTTCAAGTGAATTCGATTGCCTGAATTTTCGTTAAATTATTGTTATTTAAAGGAGATGGCGAACTTTTTATTATATTCTGCATGTTTTGAAAATTTAAGGAATCGGAACGTATTATATACTTAAAATATATATATTTTTAGCTGGGGATATATGTGTGAAGAAAACAGAGAAGCGAATGAGCGACGATCGCGGGGTGTAACCTACTATTATCTACCACTTAGATAATGCCCTGTCAGGGCCGCAGGTGAAAATAATAGGGGAGGATAAAGGGGCCCAGCAACGATTCGATGGAATTCGCATACATGGAAGTCATGTCAGTTGCAGGGATTATTGCATGGTGGTCGTGTCCCCGTCTGCACGGCGGGGGGAGTATTTTGCCTATGGGGTGTTCTTCGCGTGGAACGTGTCGTCGGGTTTTTGAAGATGGATAAAAGGCAATGATGCCGCCTCCTCTGTGGCCATCTTCTTAAGGTGCCGACGTTCCTCGTCGTGGTTTTTTTTTTATCTTCGGTTTTAGTTGAGGTTGCACATGTAATTCCAGACTGGTGGATATACGCGGTGAAAAAGGGCATCGCGTGACGTGGACAACTCTGTGGGGATTCAATGCGACAAGCGCAGTGATCGATCTTCATCCTACTCAATCTTTTTGAAAACTTGTCGAATTGAACATGTCAGATTTTTGATGTACTAGGCGGGCACGGATAAAGGGTAATTCATTATAATTATTTTAGTTTTTTATGACGCTTCGTATCGGATTTATGATACACTCGAAGGGAAAGAGATTTCTCACGTGGCGAAAAATTTAGAATTCAATTTACCCTGGTGTTTAGTGGGTGCGCAGTGGATTCGTATTGGCTCGGTGGAAATTTTTATCTTGTTGACATTTTTAATAATTGAATTTTCAATGTTGCTTCAGCAGCAATTGTCGTAAACTATCATCACACCATTCATAAACAGTACTTTGACATTGCCCTTTGAAGTAGGAGGAGTTGCAAATATCATAACGGTAGTTTAACGATGCCCCGAGTCCTTGTTTTTCTCGACGAAGGAGGGGTACGCGAAGAAACGCCGCAGCTTCTAATTAGAACGTGTTTGGTATACCAACTGCACCATTACACGGAAATGTGCATAATAATCGGTGCAATCGATGGGAATCATATATTTATTGGCGAGGAGAGCCTCGAGTGAACGTGAAGACGGAGACAGCTGATGTTGTCCATACAAGAGTAATAATAGGAGAGGGGCCCGCAGTGAGCGATTCCACTCTTCGCGATAGTCTATCGCGTATCATGAATGGCTGTAATTAGGATTTTTATTATACCCGAGGAAGCTTTATGAAAACATTATGGATAATTCAAGGCCGACTTTACAATTGCCAATGTGAAGGGAACTAGGGAGGGGTGGGGGAGAATTTGAGTCGCGTCATTTCCGTTTGGCATTTCTCACACTTGGTTGTTACATGAGTTCACATGTGAGTATAAGATCATTTTTAAGAACGTGATATGGACTTTTAGAGATGTAATTTCACTCAGAATCTCGAGATTCTGTAATTTCCGTTAGAATTTCCTGTGGTTATTCTTTGAAATGTTAATCCACTTTCAATCGGCAACCGTTCTTTTTAGTCAAGATCCGTTTCTATTGCGTTTGATTAGATTGGTTAATTGAATTGCGGTGAACAATGCAGACAAATTATTAGACTTGGATTAACCCCAAGATACGATTACGCAAATTTGTTTCAACGATTCTAAATTACGAATCGTGCGACCGAGAGTCGATGCTTATAAGTATAAATGTAGAGAAGGATTAGAAGGAGACATACGTTAAAGCACTTGGATATCCTCAATGATAGAGTTTAATAAATGGAGTGAGAAACTTTATGACCTCACATTAATCTCGATGGCAGAAACATTGATAGCGGCTCGAGAGTTATTGACGATTAAAATTTTCTTCAGCGGCGGATGAAAGATTTACAATCAAACAGATAAATTATTCCCCACCGCTTGAATTAAACTCGAATTTCTTACTTCCCATTTCAACGCCTGAAATATTTTCACATGGGCATTATTTTCCATTCCCAAAATCCTGTTTTGATAAATATCAAGATGTCAAAGAATCTTAAAAAAAAAATCCCATTTTTTCGGAAAATGGAAAACTTAATTGGATTAAGGGAAATTCAACCGAATGCATTTGAATTCAAATTAAAGTGAAACTCGCGTATTTGAAAATTCAGAAGACGTAACTGAAAGTTTAAGAAATTTTTAACAGTGTAGTAAAGTTGGTAAGAGTATTTTTTTTTGTTTTGAGTGATGTGGAAAGATGGGCTAATAGAGTTTGGGGTAGTGATATATATTTAAGTTGGAGAGCGTGAAGAGGAATGGCCGGTGGACAAGGCGGTGTGTGGTCCGGCACGTCCAAGTAAAGCAACGGACGGCGCGATTAGCCCCAGGCTTCCTCCTCCTCCTTCCGCCTCGCCCTTCTCCCACTAATCCCTTCTTCCTCCCTTTTTCACTTCACTCGCGTGTTCACCAAAATGTACGTGTGTATGGGTGTCTCAAATGTTCACCCCGGGATTGCACAGGCCGTAATGTATATGTATATCTCCTTGAAGAAGAGAGGGCTATCGAGTTACGTGCTAAGCAGCAAACCGCCCAAGCTGTAAGCGAGACACCAAGACTTCCATTGTTCTTCACCAATTCACGTTCACCAGTTTCACTGCCTCAACAAGTTATTTATGATTTTTCTCAATAACCGGATGAATTTTTAAAATTTCATAAATCATCCACTCAGAGGATCACTTTTTTGACGTTAAACAGGTTGCTAGGTTTAATCTGAAGATCTTCAAAGAGTGTTCAGCTAATTTTAGATGTAGCACTCCGAATGAAGATTATAATAAAAATAAGATTATAATGTCAAAATATTAATCTTCAGCGAAAAAAATTGATTGAAATTATCGACAATTTTTTCACCAACTTTTGGAATATCTTAAATTTCTCTTAAATCAATAAAAAATCGTCTCGTCTGAATAATTTGACAGATTGTAAACTGCAATGGTGAATCGCACGAGAAACTAGTGTACCCCCCATTAAAAAAAAATCCCCCTCCTGGAAACCCAATCAGACTGGAAGCGTGTCCCACGGGAAAGTAGGAAATGACTCAGATAAACATGTACTTAAAGCACCCATGATCTCTCCCAGCGTTCTGCGTTAATTACGAAGAGTCCGCTCCGTAGATATCCACCAGGTAACGATTAAACTCCTCAGTACAGTACATAACCCATCGTTTTGTGCCCACATATACCGTAGAATAATTCGCCCAGTCAGCATGGTTGAGTATTCCCAAGCCCCTCGATTGTAATCAACCGTGAAATCGATTCACAATCGCAACGTGATTGTCCCTAATTAAGCGAACCTCGCGCAAGAGGAATCATTCATCACGATTGCATGTACACACAGCACAGCCCCCGGAAGTTTCGACAATCTCCCCCCTCTAACCCCTCCTCTACCCCTCCCAGTCACTAGTTATCTGAACATCCCCTGGATTTCTCATTTGCAATCAGTTCACAGTAATCAGTGAATGATATCTATGAAGGATAATTATTTAAATGACTTATCACTTGATAATTTCCGTTTTGTTTCTGCCTTGTGTTCTCAGAGATCCGATGGAGCTGATGGAGCAGCAATTGGTAAGATGCGGTGTGCCCCCAGTCAGATTGTACGAGCATCTAGCATTGACCTCACCAGCAGCTGCTGCAGCTCTTAATGCCCAGCAGCAGCAGCAGCAGCAGGGACCAGACAGTCAACATCCTGGGCACTCGTTGTCACCGGCGTGGCTCCAGCCATCAACGGCGTTGCTCTATGGCAGTAGAGGCGGCACTCCATCACCCTATCCATCCCACTCATTTCCCTATCCTGCTCTCTCGTGGTCCTGGCAACCACCAGTGGCTATGATCTCAAGACGATCGTCTTCCTCGTCGCCACGATACACTCCCTATCCAACCGCGACGTCTACGTCACCACCTCTTCGCCCACGTCCAACCACCCCGAATTAGCGACCCCCCGTTTTATTTCCATTATTTTCGCGGTGATACGGACGCCATTTTCTACCGGTGGATTCGTCTTTCGAGATTTGAGACATCGAAGGACTTTAAATTGTTCGGCACGAATGCCTGATTTTTCAGGACTTTTGAAAACTAGTGCCTTCGTCAAAGTTCATTTATTCATTCAAATACAGAAGAATCCCGTTATAATGGTGTGCATGGGGCTGTAGGGGAAGATAATTCCGAGAATTTTACTGTATGCAACTACCCCCACCACGCGCTCGCTGCGACCGTAAAGGGAATTTTTTCATAGAAAATTCATCTTGGAGCCCCGGAAGTAATACAGTGGAGGAACCAAAAGATGGGCGAAAAAAGAAATTAATGAGAGATTGGACATTAACGAGATTCTACTGTAAGTAAATATGAATGGATAGAATATCTAAGAAATAAAATGAATTGTTTCGATATTGTTCCACGTATCGTGGAGTTTTGCTGTTCAAACCAAATCTAATTTGTTTTGAAATAGCGAGACACTAGTTTTCCGACGTATGGAAAGTCATTTTCATCGAATTATTTCTCAAACTCAGTGATTCAACGACGTTCGTTCATCGTAAAGTTAACCATTTACTTTACCCAGAGAAGAGCCAAAGAATTAGCCCAGCCAGAGAATGATTTAACTAATTAATTGTAATAGTTGTACCTATGTATAGTAAGTAAATGTATTCTGTACAGTGCGATAATTAAGATTCAGCGGATATCAATTTTCCTTTGTTCCTCCGGCGAATAATAAAAAAAAATCCCGTGAAAGACTATCAGCGTTAATTGAGGTAATTAATCTCGCGTAATGTAACCGTTACCCAAGATTTTTTAAGTAGTAATAAATCAAACAAGTGATTGTAACACAAAGGACTAATTAAAAAACGTTTAGGTAATGGCTATTTGTTCAATTAAACTGAGCATTATGTAAATAAGTAAAAATTATTGGAAATTCGAAGTGTATATAAGTATACGGGTCATTATGTTAAGTGTATGTAGCGGTGTAAGAGATTATTGAAATGATCATTGATTTTTGGTTATCAAAAATGTTACCGAGTTATTTTATAATTAATCCAGCACGAGTTTTCTTCACTTTCTTTAGGTCATTGTTTCCCGGTTGACTGTGTAGTAAGACATATTTTTTTCCGTATCAACGCCTGGAACGTGTTCACATGATAAGATAAGACGAGCTCCACTACCGTCCTTTGTGACCCTGTCCGCCTTGTGAAACCACACGACCCCGAAAGAGAACGATTAATAGACGAATACTCGTGCTGGCTTTAAGAATTCTATTTTATTTTTGCTCGTTCTATTTTCTCTCAACGGCTGTACCATACCACGATAGTATTAACCCCTTCGTCTTGCCCTATTTGAGGCAATTGTACATAATGAAGGGACTGGAGAGGAAGTGTCCTGCTAGTTAATTAAATTGAGGGGTAATCGATAATGTAGCGAGAGAGCAACCTGAATAAATGGATTTTGAGTAATACTTTGGATTATTTTCTTGTTATTGTGATTTTTTTTTTTCTATTTTCAGATTAGTTGCAAATGAAGTTGGAAAAATTCTAGCTCGAGAAACTTCACAGGATCTTAGGGAATTTAGCGGATTTTTCAGAAGCCATGAATTAATAAACTATTTAGAACGTTGGAAGCGATTGTACCTCGAAATGCCGTGTAATTCTCTTATACCTAGCTGAAATTAAATAAATTCATTTCACGGCCTGTCAGCGCACAATTATTTTTGGACTCATGGGTACAGCGGTCCATTTCGGCGAGAGTCCCTTTTATCCGTGACTAACACTTTTAGACCCGCAGTGGGCCCTGAAACCTCGGGAGCACGTCAGGAGGTGGAGACTATTTCCAGTCCTTCAGAGGATTTCATACGTTTGCCAATTTCCGTGGAAATACACAATCTACATTTTTCTGTGCGCCGCACGGGGAGACGTAATTTGGATATTGACGTTGGGATGCACCAATAATTGAATTTGTCCTCTAATCTAATGAATTAATACCGGGAGTGACAAATATCGAGATCTTCAGATACTAGGGAATTTTATTAGACTATGGTTTTGACAGGTCTACAGATCGTTCTACATCGAAAAAATTGCTCGGAATTATTTTTGGTCACCATTGAACATGAAGGTTACACATCGGCTAAAATCAATGTCCAACGCAAATCCAAATTCAACATTTTTTAATCATTTTTTTACAAATTTCAGAGCAAATATCCTAAAAATTGAAAAACCATAATAAATTACTGAATGACAACGATGATACCAATTTTTCTTCCAAAGTCATAATTCAGTAGAAAATAATTTCCAGACAATTTTTAATTAACAATTTTTATTAACATAAATTAACACAATAATTTTTCAAAAAAGAGAGCAAGATTCCCACAGAAGATGCATGTGAATCGACGAGCCCGAATGCCAGCTCAAGACGGGTCTAGAAGCTGATAACCCCCACAGAATGAACGATGGAGGAAAAAAAAACAGGAACTCTCAAAAAATAAGCATCCCTTATGTCCTCCCCATTGCCAGAGTGGAGGTCCCCGGACACATATACCCGCGTGTGCGATGTTGTGATGGGTGGAGCGAGGTGAGAGAAACAGAGAGGCGGCTCCCGAGCTTGTAATTATGTTGATACGAATGATCTGCGGCTCGCCACAGACCTAAGGTGCCTCCAGCAGTGCTCACCGGCTGCTGCTATATCCCTCTTCAAAAGGATATAGATGAGAGTGTGTGCATCCCTCCCCCTCACCCCCAACAGGTATGACTCTTTCTCCTCTTGCTTATGCCTCCATGAATCGGCGTCTCATCATCTTCCTCAATCATGAAGCCCTCCAGAAAGGGCTTTAGGACCGTGGCGAAACCAGTTTAAGTGGCTAAGTGTAGATGTAATTGATTTCCATTTTACGAGGGCCTCTCTTGGAAGATGTGCGCACACCGGCAAAACTTATATACCCTCCCCTCCGTGTCTTCTCCATCACCAACTTTTTGGGGGGAATAGAGGGGATTGTGGGGGGGTACTCTCGCACGTTTTAGGTCCTTCAGCTCCTCTTTTTCCCCCTGTGTTAATGTGCATTATACATCCCCGGCATATTCGTCCCGTGATAATGCAAAAGATTTCATGTACTCTGGGTGATGGGTTACGTTGGTAATTTTACTGGGGATAAGGTGTAACGTCTCATCGTTAGCGAGACCCTCTTTACCTCCCATCGTACTCCATGTTGATGGTTTTTACGTCTCTCCCCGTAATGGAGATGAGGGAAAATTCATTTCTCACGGAGGGGGGTTTTTTTTTCTACTTCGTTTTGGCGATGGACGCTGAAAAATGTGTGGGCAGGTCAACACTGGGAATAATATCCCAGGACGGGTGGGATAGTTTCGAGAGGAAAAATGGAGAGTGTGAGAGGCCTTGGATTTATCAACCATTTCTCACGCGAGAGTTGAGGTGTGAGGGATTTTTTAATGGGAGAACCCAGGGAAATTGGTTTTATCGGGGGTACCCAGGTTATCGGGCGATTATTCGGGACTCAAGGGGTTTTTAAATTCAGGTGGACAATGGGGTACCGCTGGGTGGGGGGAAATTTGATCGAGAGAGAGGCGAGGGATATGTAAATTAGAAGGCCCGTGTGAATGCGGAGATTTATGGGTCTCGTACACATTTCTGGGGATAATAAATATCCGTAAGTAGCAGAGCAGTGTGTTGTCTGCGCGGTTCAAAATTTCAAATTTCAAATTTCAGAAACAAATTCCACGGCTTATCAGTGCCACATGAGTGTAACAATTGAGATTTATACCAGAATAACGTAAAAAAAAATTAAAGATTCGTCAATGACTTTTACATATTCTGTAATTGGAAAATTCATTCATTGAAATTCAATGAACGTCGTCTGTGACCTTCCAGGGAATAAAATAATCATTCAACCTTTTATATTATTGTTTATTGTGTCATGTAAAAGGATCCACTAATCATTCATAACAGAGTTGTATTTTATTGCACGTCATGATCACTCAATGTTCTCATAGGAGGTTTTACTGCGACGTTTGGACTGGTCGATAAAAATACAGTGTGATAACGAAATAAATAAGTGAATAATTTTTAAAGAGTCTGGGGGACAAGGGGGATGTTGGTGGGGATTTTTTTTTCTTCTCAAGAAGCGACCAAAATGGTCTGAAGACAGGCGGCTGCATCTATCCGACGTGGGTGGGTTTTATTCGCATATCTCTCTTCATTCCACTCACATGCTACCCATCCGTATCGCATGGCTCCCCCTTTGGAGCCCCGAGGTGTCATGTCCACGAATTTTCAGCTCTTGGCTATTGAATGGGCCACTGGGGGAGACCAGCGATTTTAGACGACGGACGAGCGTGAAATGCGTCCAATTACGAGACACCCGCGACGAAAATTCACCGCTGGAATTCATGGGTACCAATGAATTTCACTGGTATTTATTTCGTGGGGATTTGAAGTGATACAAAGACCAACTGAACTGATACAACTCCCGGGGTATCTGTGTGAGGAGAAGATGGGTGAGGCGAGAAACCTCGGTGTCGAGGGCTTCTCCGTGAGGCATCCGCGGGAGGGGATACGCCACCGTTAACCAGGACCTGACGCTGTTAATTAGGCTCGATTAATTAGCACGAGTGATTGGAGTTCGATGGGAAATCGATCTCGGGTTTAGTCGATAATGCGACAACTCGAGAGGAAACAAATTCAACGGTGAGGAGTTCTAGGAAATTTACGAGGAATGCAAAAAAATCATCACAATTAGTCCTCCGTTCTGTGAGTTAAATAAACAATTTGTTTTGATAATGATGTTTTCATTGAAATTATTATTTTTTATTAATTGAAGATGAGTACATTGTCGAATAAGATAAATAAATAATTCCATTGTTTTTACACCAGCACATTCTCTTTTTGTAAATGTACTCCTCATGACTGGCTTTCCATAACTTTCCCATAACTATCCGTTGAGCTCGCAAAGGGGGCCTTTAATATATGCCCTCTATAGAATTCTGAAAAATTGGACCCCCCGAATCAAAAGAATGTTTCCCAAATTCCTAAATACACGTTAAACATACTTTATTTATTTGGCTGAAATTTATCACACGACGACCACCAGTGAATTCCCCATGGCGTGTCATTTTTTTTATTCTCTGCCTCGATCTTGAGTACACAGAACTCCTCATCCAGCGTATGTACATCGAGAAATAATGCGATTAACGCGATAGACAGATTTATAGCTGCTTATGGGATTTAAACTCAACAGGTTGGATACTATAATCTTCCATCCAATACTCAAGATGAAGAAGATGAGGCATCTTCACCTGTATCCCCCGAAAAAAATCCACCAAAATAAGGATGAAAAATCGGATGAAAAGGGATGCGCGTATATTTAGGTGGCTGCTTTAAACTCGTTCACAATGAAGCGCCTCGAAATGGTGTCGCTAACCCGTAAAAAAGCCGGGTGAAAGAGACCCAGAAGGTGACTATAAAAATAATAATAACAAAAAAATAAAAAGAAGGTAAAACTCGTCCAGGTCCCCTCTGAGATGGCAGTGGCATAGGCACCACGGGGTATCCTCAGACATTTCTTCTCAGCTACGCGGGGTAAAAGTCACTTCACCAGACGAGGGAGGGCAACATTATTATTTACAACAGTCCGTAAGGCGTGTCACAATGGGCATTGCGGGTTTCCTCTTGAAAGTCTAACAATGTAAATCGGGATTTATGACCTAAACTTTCAACAAAACTGTCAATGCTACCACCCTCTAACTATCCTCCTTGGACTCTATCCATTTCGCTGGATATCCCAGGATTCCTCCAGTTACGATCCACGGGGTATCATCTTCTGGGTTGAGCCGGAAAAAAAAATGTGGGAATGCCAATGGACAAATATTTTTACCATAAAATCCTGGCGGTTTTTCATTTTTTCTTTAACGGACTTCAGCGTTTTTTTCTCTGGCGTCATTTTTTGCGTCGAGTTATTTTATGGATAAATTCATACATTTCATGGCTCTTTCTTCTAAATTCTAGAAACTTCAATCTTTAATTTGTATTTTTCGTAATTTACTTTCAATTTTATCCCTAATTAGATAGATCGCCGAAAATTGTGGCCGTGAAATGATCTCGTTTTTACGAATAAATTTCATGTATTTATTTATTTATTCTTCAAAATTAATCGTCCTTTTTTCTATACTTCATCGGCTTGGAAGTTATAACTTGCCAATTGTATAATCCAGAATTACACATTTTTTTTGTCTTATTTTCTCTGTGCAATGAAAAGACGTGAAAGTACAAAAATCCAAATGTATGTTTTTGTGTCAGGAAGATTGGTGTCAAAACCTACTAAATTTTGCCCTTGGAAATTTGCGTGGAAAAATTTCCCTGGGTCACTGTGTTGACTGACTCCTGTGGTCAGGCCCAGAAAAGAAAGGAAGAACCCC